AATTAATAACATTATAATTACCAATTACAACATGTTTTTCATAATAAATAATATTCATTCAATACATTAAATAATACCTTAAACACATTGAATGTATTAAAACAATGTTAAAATAAATAAATATAAAGTGTACGCCTGGCATTCATTACATTTTGTCAGTTTAAAAATTTGCTGCTCTGCAATATTCTCGATAATTTATGAAATTTCATTACAATTTTTGCGGTTTTCTCTCCCCAGTGGATTGAGTAATAATTACCGGCAAATTGCCGACTCAAAGTGAACTCATTTCGCCTGCTGCAATTATGGGCACTTGAGTAATCTCCGGCATCTTGAAGCTAAAGATCCAATCCCCCAGTTTGGTTGTTTGGTTGCAGCTGCCGGGCAGCAAACTCCAGCTCCAGATTTGCAATGTGAAATCGCCGTCTGTAATTGGGCCATAAAAGAAGAGCAGGATCCACCAGCTGCCCCGGTGGATATGTAAATTTAGTGTTAAGGTGCACAAAATGGGCGTTTTAGTGAAGATTAAGCAAGCGCAAGCTCGGACTCCAATTGCATGGGGAAAACGTTAAAAAACCCTAAAAAAAAAAACAGGGAGGGGAATACAAGAAAAGGCGTTGCCCGACAATGGCATAAATTTTAGAGCTGAAAAACAAATAAATAAAGCCAAGATCTGGGGCCTGAGCATTACGCATCGTTTAAGTTGTGATTTATGTGGCATAGACATACCGAAAACCCTTCAGGAACACACACAAACACACACACACACGGACATCAGAGATTGAGGCTCGGATTCGGTTTGTTAATGAGTCAAATTACACACACAGCACCACAGAGGGGTTAAGAGGGCGAGGGGGGTTTGCTGAGTGGCCGCCGAAAGGTGTGACAATTGTTACCGTGCAAATATGTGTATGTATGTATATAAGGCCAGGAGATACACAAAGATTTATGGTGACTGCAGAAAGGGAATTCCCAGAAAATTTGCCACTATTCCTTGCGGTCCGGCTCTGTGGTTTTTTGCATAAACAAATAACTGGAAAAAAATGGGCATTCCACCTTTTTAGCGGAATTGCTACCGGGCTAAGAGGAAAAATGAGTGGAAAAACTCGGAGCCGGTAGCCAAAAAGAGAGTGTCGGGCATTTATCAAAGCGTCGGCTGCGGTTTGAAGATGCACCCAAAGTAACCAACCGGGTCCCCAGGGCAAAGCCCAAAAAGCAACGAAACCCAACCCAATGAGTTTCATTAATAAATTCCAGAACAAAACACCCAGACAAACCGGTTGCCCTGACTTCCTCCTCTTACGCCCAGAAATATTCCTGGTTTTTCTCCTTTTTGTGGGCGTTCTCAGTGCAAACAACTGAAAATAATGGAAAATATTTGGTAAATATTTGCGGGCAGGCCGCAGGACACGAGGGAAATGCGTGAAGGCTGAAAGATGATTTGCCAAATGTCCAGACCACCAGACAAAGCGGCACCAAAAACTGGGAATGCCTAATGTGATTTGAGGATCTTAGGAGATCTTAAGAGAATTAATTTTCAGTGGGATTATGCATTATTAATTTTGTAATACAATTTGTTATGGGTAAAATTAAAGAAATTTGTTTTGGTATGAAAAAAAATGCTAAGATTGCGAATTCAAAACATAATATGTTCCATTGAACTGTTAATATGATATAATAAGGAAAATGTGTACTATTTATTTTTGAAAAACTTAAATATATTAATTTTATGATATATTAATTGTTAAATTGAAGTTTCGATTCTACAGCTTAATGTTACTTAATGTAAATTTTAATGCTATTCATTATATATAATAATAAAATTTAGTTTTACCTCAAAATTCCATAAAACAATATCAAGTAACGACACCGATTTAAAGCAATAAAAAATAAACGATGAAAATAATATAAAATAAATTAAAATGCTTTACAAATAATAATATATAACCAACACAAAACTTCTTATTGTACTAAAAGCATTAAAATACAAGCCATGATTATTTAATAAAATAATATGCTTAACAAACAAAAATACATTACCAAAATTCATATTTCCCCATCTCAATATCAGCACACATGTTGCTGCAATTCCGCTTTATAAATAGAAACTCTATAGTGCTTGGGTTGCTTCCGCTTTTAGTGCTTATCGGGCGGTTTCGAAATCGAGGCAAGTGCCAAGCGGAAATTCTCCGCTTCCCCGTCTTCAGACCCCTTGAGAAAATAAAAATAAAAATAATAAGAACACGTGCCTCCCACTTCAGGGCGGCTCAAGTGCCCGAAAAAACGAAAGCCCCCCTTCTTGATAAACCCTTTGCAATCGAAGCCCCGGAAAGTGTTATATGAACTTAAGAAGCGGAAATGCCGCAGACAAAATAAGGAAAATTCAAGTGGGCAAAGAGAAAAATGAAATTGAAGCCAGCTCAAAACATTAGTTATCTATTGCCGTTCATCATCAATCAAAGTGACCGACCGCCCAGGAAAATTGGAGCAGGAAAATCTGTCCTTGTGTTGACCGGCGGAAATTTCCACAGTCCTGTCGGCCAAATTCAAAGTGAAAGTATTCGATTACCCAAAGCGATCGTTAAAAAAAAGTGAAAAGTATCGAAGAAATTATAAATTGCCGACAAAGCCAAGGGCCAAGTACTTGAGATTTAAAGAGGGAAAGGACATAACAAGGAGAAAGTCAAACGAGGACAGTTAGCCGCACTAATTAACAAGCAAAATTGTTTATTTTTACAAGTGCCAAGTGGCCACTTTTTCGGAGCGGCTGCCCTTTGTTTTCACAACTTGTGTTTTCGTTGGCTTTTGACATTATGGTGACATACGCGACTGCCACCTAAAAAGACACACATGTAGATGAACAGCTAAGGACAATATAATAGGAGTATATAAAGGGTTTCCAAACAAAAATATAATATCCAATTATTTGAATAAAAATGATTTTAGTAAAAAATAGCTTAAAATTTTATTCTATTCTATTCACATTTTACTAGTAACTAAACTATTTATTTAATAAACGATCCGATACTTTTTTACTATTTTAAGGAATCATATGAACGGAAATAATGGTTAATTATTTTTGGGTAATATGCTATACGTTTTTTATGACTTAAGGCTTTTCAAAATTAAAATATGCCGTCAATAAATTGTTATAATTTATATATTTAATATATATGTGTTTTTAGAAACAAACATGAAGTAAAAGGATGCTCTTTAGGCTACAAATATCTTTAGTTCTATTTCTATTAAATTGACTGCAATTGTATACGGAACACACACGACGTATGTGTCGCTCCCCCTCCACTTTCACCATTTCTCCCCGGGCGAAAGTGTCAAAGTGACATGCCCACTTTGTCTTTTCCCGATGTAAAAAATGTCTCAAGTTACAGAAATCACACAACAAGAGGATATTTTCTTCGCACAGGATAAGCGGGATTAGTGAGCTTGTTAGTTAGTTGGGATCTCCAAGGTTCCGGATTCCAAACTCCGGATCTCAGGATCTCAGAATGGTTCGTCACTGTAATTGGCGACCCTTAGCGTCACATAATGAATTTGACGAACTGTCACTTAACATGAGTTCCTTTTTCTTTGCATTTTTTAGCGGGTTAATTGGCACTGACAAAGGTCTTGACTTCGGCTTGGGAAATGTAATGATTTGTTGACATTCGTAAATATTATGCGGGAATTTTCCGGAGGAGTGCCTTCTATCATATCACGCTAAATATGAGCAATGGGACCACAAGTAATTATAAAAAATTATTGCATTGATGGGGCGTTACTAAATTGGAAAGATCCCTGTTATTTACTTTTTAGTGGTTTTACTGCAGAAAACTTTAGTCCTCCGGTGGTGGGTAGCCATAATTAAATTTTAAAGTTAGGGTTAATGTAAAAGGGTTGAATGTTGAGGCTAAAATCAATTTTTACAAAATTACGACTTTAGATTCTTAAATGTTTTGTTCTGCTTAAAAAATAAATAAAAAAATGTTGAAAGCAATAAAAAAATTGGTAATTTTATAAATTTTAAAAATCTATATAATGACTTTTTTTGTCGTATTAAAACGTATATGTTTCTTAGTAACAATAAATGAAGTTAAATACAAATATATTTTAAAGATATAATATTTTCGTATTGAAAAAACTATATCACTAAGTATAACCCCAAGATATAATGTTTTATATATTATATTATATAATATAATACTTTTAGACTTTAAGATAAAATTAAAATTGTCTCCATTAATTATAAACTTATTTCCCTTGTTGTGAGCACTAAACAAAATGTTCTTTGCTCAAGTCGCATAAATTCTATACGCCTGATTGCAATAACCTTGACTCAAGGTCCATGTCCTTGCAGATAAATAAAAAATAAAATCCAAAACCAGCAGGATGCAACTGCAGAAAAAACAGAGTCAAAAAAACTCACTCAAAAAACGATTGAGTGACCTACGGAACGTGTTGGAAACGAAATGAAACAGCCACTCAAAACGGAAGATGGAAGAAACCGTCAGAAGAGGAGATAACAGGAAACGGAATGCGACGACAACGGCGAAAAGTTGTCTAAAAAAAGAGGCAACGAAAAACCGCAAGCGAAACGTTGGCACTTCATAAATGGGCGAGAAAGAGAGGCGAAGAGAGACGGCTATGGGGAGGTGCATGAGTGCAAGCGAGAGAGCCCAAAAGCGCCGACATTTTTAATTGTAAATGAGTTATGACGCTCTCGCACGAGAGAGAGGAGAGGAAAAGAGAAAGTTGCTGACAGCGCCTCTCTCTGTCGCACGTCGACTCCCCCGCCACTTTTCCGTTTGGAAAACGTTTTCACTCAGAGCTGGGAATAGGGCTGTCCCACTCGCACTTGGTTTCATAATGCTCGAAATACGGTTGTCCCGCTTGCACTGGGGTGTACCATAAGCGGGAAAACTGGTTTTCCGAGTTTTGTGCCTGCCGTCGTTTTTGGCTTCTCAGCGGCAACAATTTCCTGACACAATTCAGTTCAACGTCGCCTGCCTTCCGTTGCGCACACACTCAGTCCGCGAGATACTCAGTTCGCGTGCGCCAAAGATAGAGAGATACAAAGATACAAACAGCAGAAAAGATACAGATACAAAGCGTAGAAAGCCAATCGACAAAGTGCTGAAAATGCAGCTTGCTTTATAAGTGCCAAGTGTTGACAAGTGTCCAGATACAATATATCGAAATACCTGAAAAAAAACAGGTGCCCAGCTTAATCCTCGCTAAAGAACTACAAGTACCCACAAAATGCTGGTCGGTTCGCATCCGTATCTGTGCAACGGCGTTCCCGTCGCCCCCACAAATCCCGCTGCCAATGGCAGTGCGCAAACCACAACGACGACGGCCAGCAAAAGTGCCGCCGGCTCAGCGACGGACTTCTCCATCGCCGCCATAATGGCCCGCGAAGATGCCTCCAGTCGTGAGTCCTCCATTCGCAGTGCAAGTAAGTAGAGATACATTTCGAAATTACTTCAAATCAGGGATAATTCAGAAAAATCATCAAAAAGTAGTTAGGAGCAATCTATACCGGAAAACTATTAAAATATGAATTACAGGCTCTTAAAAGCTTTCAACTAAAATTTATCTTATAGATACTATAAGAATATTGGTTGTTTTTCACATATAAACAGTGAGCATAAGCAAAAGCATAAGAGTTATGAGCTTTAAGGAATAAATCCTCTGTAGAGGGTTTTAGGTCAAAAGTATCTTAAAGATTCTTTTCATAAATGGAAAAGCATTTGTGTTTTAGGCAAGCAACTACAATATTTGTCGCTAACAGCATTTATAAAAGCTTTAGAGGCATAACGCAGTTTAATAAGCCATGTAAAGTTGCTTGTTTCTCTTAAAATATTTTTAAAATATATATTATTATTGATTTACCAGTCCGAATTTTTTAATATAGCATTTGAAATGTGATAAAAATGATTTAAATCAAAATACAAGGTGTCTCTACGAACCTATTTAGAAGTTCCATCTTCACAACACAAAAATTAATATTTTATGGACACAAGTCAAAAACAAAAACATACCACAGTATTTCTAAATCGATTTGATAAAATATTTAAAAGCAAAAACATATTGAAACTCAAAATACTTTTGTTATAACACATAAACATATCAACGCCTTAAAATAGAAACGCACACTTGACTTATCAGCCATAAGACAATCGCTAATTGATTGCACAACAAATCTATTAAATTACTGTTGTCGCTTTGGGTGCGCAGACTTCTATTTAATTGCCATTGACAATTAGCAGGCGTTCGGGCCAAGTTTAAATAACTAGTTCTCTGTGGCCGACGGCAATCGCATTCAAGCCAAGCCAAAGATCGCGGATCAGATGTTCATATATTAAAACTGAACACTTGCAGCGCTCAATATGCAAATTGTGCACAGCAACTAATCGCGTGGAATTCATATTTCTGTCGGACGCTAACAAAAGCTGCTAATTATGTTAATTAATTTTCAACAATGTGCTTCATATTATTAATTTTACGAGGCGCAGAAAATTAGCGACGGCCAAAATCAAAATCAAAATCAAAACAAAGCCAAAGCGAAGTCGCTATAAGGTGTTCATATTTTACGATCTTTTATCAAATATGCAGCTTTTTTAATTTTATATTTTGTTTTGTTTATTTCTTTGTCGTTTCATTTTTTTTGCCGTCGTTTTCCGTTTGCTTAGTTAGCGTTTTAACACCTACCGTCTGGACTCACCTATACAAAAACGAGCTTGTTGGTTCGCCCAATCATTTCGCTATCGTGTCGGCTTAAAAATGGAAAGCGTACGCGACATTTCGCCTAGGGCTGGCCCCAAAAAAAAAAAAAAGTTATTCATCAACTTGCATACACCTTGAAGCCCTACACTTTTGTTTATGCAATGGAAAAGAGCAATCGCAGCTAGAGCTGCGGGCTGTTTAATTGACAATTTGTGTTCAGTTTGCCAATTAAGCGAGCGGTCGTCTCATTGTCTCATTGTAACGCGAAGCGAAGCGGAAACTCCAAGAATATGAGACGACTCCACGCTGTCTGCCGCGAAATCAGCTTCACCAGTCAATGTTGTCAACAGTGAAACGACCTCAGTTTGGCCAAATGCACAGCGGAAAAGTCTGAGGGAAATTCGGAAAATATATCCAGATTAAGTGATAAAAAATTGATTTTAAAAAGCAATGGCTTTTATAATTTAAAAGTGATTAGAGAGGTTTTGAAACGGCAATTCATATTTTAAGAAGTACAATTTATTATAAAAAACTATTTTTAATGGCTTATAAATTGTCTAAAAATCTTGGTATGTTTTCCGTATTTTAATTAGATTTTTTCGCCTCTGTGCTTTGTTTTCATTTAACTTAAGCTCAAACACAAAGCCAGCAATTCACATTTAATTTTCAATTTTCGCTTTTCCTTCTTGTGTCATTTAAGGTCCCATTTCGGTGGAGGATGAGGTTGACGTTGATGTGGTTGACTGCAGCGATGCCGAGGAGCCGCCGACCAAGGCGCGACGTTTGAACCACCATCAGCACCACAATCACAATCACCACCACCACCATCAGCACCACAATCACAATCACAATAACAACAATCACAGCAACAGCAACAACAACAACAATAACAATAATAATGTGGCACACAAGAGTCGCAACAGCGCCGGCGCCGTGGCACAAACAACAGCTTCCGCCGAATCGCAGCTAAATACCAGCTCGACGAGCAGCCAAGGACGCTGCTCCACGCCGCCCCAATCGCCGGGCACGGAGGACAGTGAGGAGCGTTTAACACCCGAACCGGTGCAGAAGGCACCCAAAATCGTTGGCTCCTGCAATTGCGACGAACTGAAGCCGGTGCAATGCCACCTGGAGACCAAAGAGCTGTGGGATCGCTTTCACGATCTCGGCACCGAGATGATCATCACCAAAACGGGCAGGTAAGCATCCAAAACAATCAACCATCCATCCATCAGTCAATCATGCAGTCAGTCGGCAGTGCAAACAGGCATTAGTTTAAACGGGCCAACAACGTGGGAGAGTTTGGGCGGTGAAAGGGGTAGCTTAAATATATTTAGAGTTGAGTTTATCACTAGAAATTGGTTATAAATTATGGCCAATATTTTAATTTCATTTCTGAAATCAGGAAGTATTTCTTTATCTCGATTTTACTTGTTTAAATGTCAATTATCTTCTTTTCATAAATGGTACTTTACATTCAAAAGAATAACTTACAATATATAAAATCTTTACATATTTATGGTTTTTCTTTTTTTTGCCACAATATGTTTTGGCCTCATCACTTTTCTGTAAAAATTCTTTATTTCCAAATCAACTGTCTTCGTGTCTCATCATTAAAACTGTTCTCCTTAAGTCAGCCTTTATGTTCTTGGGCATCACCATAAATTGGCTTGCCAAATGGTTTGCGATGTCAACAAAAATTTCATGCCATCTCAGGGATGGTGTGTGTGGGGTCCTGCTCTGAAAAGGAAACTGTGCCAAAAAATCGAACAATTTGTTTACCTGCAGGCGAATTTTCTGCACCTAAAAGTAAGAAGAGAAGAGAAAAAAATCAGAGCTATGGGCGTTGCTGTTGTCAGCGGGGGAATGGGAATGGGAACAAGTTCAATCCACATGACCACGGGTTGTCCACACCTTTGCTCCCACACACACCTGACCACACACACACACCGGTCACAACGACAGATAGATAGATACTGTACACGCACCTTAATGATATTGTAAAAATCACACCTCGGAGTTGCAGACATCAGGGCGGTCCCAGTTGCTCGCCCTTTTTCGGCCCGAGGTTATGTCACCGGCTTTGGAGGGACATTAAACCACAGGATATAGAAAAGAGGATACACATTATACACATTTTTTTCTACTTTGACTAAAAGGGAGGAAGAGTTTCGCTTTTGTTTGCATTGTCTGCACTTGTCAAAGCAGGGAAAATGTGAGAGAAAATAGAGGAAAATAAAGTAGAAGCCCCAGGTTGGTGGGTCATAAATTCTCGACTTAACTGGCTGTGTGGGGCAATGCCAACGGCAATGTACCAAAATATTAAATGAAAGAAAGAAATCTAATCGAGCGCTTTTGTGTCCTCTTTTCAGACGCATGTTCCCCACTGTGCGCGTCAGTTTCTCGGGTCCGCTGAGGCAAATCCAGCCCGCCGATCGCTACGCCGTGCTGATGGACATCATCCCCATGGACTCGAAGCGGTATCGCTACGCCTACCATCGGTCCGCTTGGCTGGTGGCCGGCAAGGCCGACCCCGCCCCCCCAGCCCGCCTCTACGCCCATCCCGACAGCCCCTTCAGCTGCGAGGCGCTGCGCAAACAAGTTATCTCCTTCGAGAAGGTGAAGCTGACTAATAACGAAATGGATAAGAACGGACAGGTGAGTTGCGATACTTGGATTCTGAGATACTCAGTTACTCTGAGACTCTGAGACGTTCAGATGCTGAGGTAGCGATTAGCCGCGAGTGCTAAATGATTGATAATTTTGCAACACGGGTGTATGCATACATATAAAGAAATATTTGCCTAGTTGGCATAAGTTGGATAAAGTTCTTGGTTGACTTATCTTAGTCATATTGCAGAAAATGAAAATTGGTAAAGTATTTAAGGGAACTTGAATCTATTTTTAGTCTTTCTTTAAAATCATTTCAGCAACTTTTTGTTAGTTAAATTACTTTTCTGCGTTTTCAAATTGTTAGTCGTCATATTGAAGTTCAGAGAATTTTAATTTTTTTAATTACAAAGAAGACTAGAACTTCTCACTATAACAATTATATTTTGATTTAACATTCTTCATGTCATTAAAATTACTTTAATAAGGTTTATCAATCATTTTCCCCTCTCCTAGTACCCAGCCACATAATTTTCAATCGACTTACTACAATGAAACCCTCTTCCTTTTCTCTATCCCTTTCCAGATCGTTTTGAACTCGATGCACAGATACCAGCCAAGGATTCACTTGGTGCGTTTGAGCCATGGCCAGAGCATTCCGTCGAATCCCAAGGAACTGCAGGACTTGGACCACAAGACCTACGTGTTCCCGGAAACGGTGTTCACGGCGGTGACGGCCTACCAGAATCAGTTGATCACCAAGCTGAAGATCGACTCGAATCCGTTTGCCAAGGGATTCCGCGACTCCTCCCGCCTCACCGATTTCGATCGCGATCCCATGGAGGCACTGCTGCTGGAGCAGCAGCTCCGTTCGCCACTGCGTCTGTTTCCCGATCCGCTGATGCAACAGTTTGCCGCCCAGGGCGATCCCTCCTCGATGGCCCTCTTCGAGAAGGCCCGCCAGCATTTGCAAATGTTCGGCGGCAATTCACCGTACGCCCAGCTGATGATGCCACAAATGTACCAGGCGGCTGCGGCGGCAGCGGGACCACCACCGCCGCCGCCGGGATTGGGCGCCTTCCACATGTTCCAGCAGCAGTGGCCGCAACTCACCGCCGGTTTCTTGGCCAGCGCCAATCAGCAGGCCGCCGCCGCTCAAGCTCAAGCGCAGGCGCAGGCGCAAGCGGCTGCCGCTGCAGCGGTAATGGCCGCCAACCGGACGCCGCCGCCCCCGCCCACCGCATCCACGCCCTCGTCGACGTCATCGGGATCGCCATCGCCCGATATGCGACCGCGGCAATATCAGCGGTTCAGTCCATACCAGCTGCCCGGCGGTCAGGGGCCGCCCACCTCCGCCGCCGGCTCTCCGCCCGTTGTCAGCGCCTCCCGCAGCCCCGCCCACTAGGCTAGCAAGCTGCCCCTGCCCCCAAGTTCTTGCCACGAGCAGTATTAAAAACTAAAAACATTGAGGCTAGAAGTTGTCTAAAGTAAAAATATTGCAGTGAAGGTAAAACGATACTTTTAAAAATTAAAAAAAAATTCATAAAAGTATATATATGATCTTTCGAACTTAAGCTCATGTTTGGTTATAAAATTAGTTGAAAACAACGTTTTATTTTTAAAAAGCTTTCATCACAGCTGCTCTAATTGAAAATATAACCCGAATAAGTAATTTTTGGTATTGTGTTCTTTTGATTTTTGTGACAAAGTACTATGTGTGTAAAATCTAAATGCAAACAAGACAAGAACATTTTTAAGGTTCTGTTTTAGGCCTAAAAAAAACATATTACTTGCATTTAAAGAAAATATATAATTTCATTAAAATCTTTTTCACATCAGATTTTAACTTTAGACAACTTCCAGACTCAGTGCAAACGGAACAAAAAAAAAACTAAACTTCGTTTTGAATGTTGTAAATTATTTGTTGTTTATATGAAAAGCAAAGAAAACATTTCTCTCTATTTGTTGTAAAAATTTTAAATTATTTATAAGCTGTACAGTTCTTCTCACTTTCCCCTAGAGAATTTTTGTAATTTAGTTTAATTTATTGTACAAATGTTTCAATGTTGTTCAAAAACTCATCTCAGTGTAAAGTTAGAACGAAATTCACTCAAAAACTATGCAAACACAAGAAATAAAAAAAACAAATTAATATATAAAAATAAAAACGCTGCACGATTGTAAACTATATGTATGTAGCTATATATAGTGTAAACATTAACCGTTAGTTATGCTATTACATCTAAAGATATATTTATAGTATTAACAATAAATTCATAGACGCTTCAGTTAGTTCTATTTATCCGGCGAAAAGGAGAAGATTTATTTAGCATAAATTAGAGGAGAATAAAACCATAATCTGTATTCAATGTGAACGCTAAAAAAAAAGTGAAAACACGAAAAATATTTAAACAAAAATTATCAAACAAAAAAACACACAAAAAAAAAACACAAACATATAAAAACAAATCAAAAATAAATAAAAATATGTGAACCAAAATATAACAAAGGATTTCTTACTTGGGGAATATTTTTAGCTTGGCTTATTTTAATTATTATTTCACTTTATTGCACTTTCAAGTGCTTTAATTTCATTTATTATGCTCGTATTCTTTTTATACTCTTAATTTGAATTAATTTCCAACAATTTTCCCCTCCATCTCATGTTTCTTGGAGTCTCAAATTACCTGCTCCTTCTCCTCTATAAAATATACTACACATAAATTACGCATTATAATGCCCTAGCAAACACTTCACAGCTATGCAAAGTAGCCAGAAATCCTGTTTCAATTTCTCACACAATATCGCACATATATCCTGTTCCACATAGGCGTAATTCCTTGGGTGCAAGTGTCGCCTTGCCGGCAGAACAAATTGAAAAGGGGACTGGGGATATGCGCAGCTCAGATACAAAGATACAGATACGCAGATACACAGATACCCAGATACACACACACACACACACACACAATGGAGAGTGTTTAACGAATGCATTTTCATGGTCACTCAAAGTGAAATTTTTCATTGGGATTTTTGGGGTGTTCAGAAAACTCGATTGACACGCCAGAGTTTTTGGGTCTTAAGTGGAGTCTTGATGGATGATTGGGCACACTGAGTTAGGGTCTGAATTTCTGGTGTGGATAAGCGTATGAAAATCGTATTGAAGGTCTTTCGAAATTTCCTCACTTTTCCCATTTTGATTGAGGGCCCGAACTAATCGGAAATAATAGCATTTTTTGATAACTATATACCGGTGCCTCTTTGCCTAATTATAAAGAAATTAACTTGGAGGATAAACATCGGGTCGGGGCAAAAATAATAACACTTCCTCTAATTATATGGTGAACTCAGTGAAATAGGTGCTACAGGCATTTGTCTATCTGGCACCTCATCTGCCAAATTCTATATTTTTACCTGACATTATGTTAAAATATCTCTAGCCCAAGATCTTCAAAGTTAATTACAAACTAATCACAAAAACAAACAAAACATTAGGCTATCGCCAGGCGGCGATCTTTTCAGGAGCAATTACTACACATGTCAAATGTCGGCCTAATTTATAGGCCAAGACCGCCACAGATCCATGTAGTCCAAGTGTCAAAACAAACATAGCGCCGCCCCACACGAAAATGGTAACAAACTCATCATTTGCCAGACGAACAAGATGGGGAAACTCTCCAGCTTCAGCTCCCTTGGCATAAATTTCCTTTTGGCGTTTGCGTTTGCGTTTGCCTTTTCGTTTTCGTTTTAATTTGAATGTAAATGATGCTGACGCAGCTGTGGATCTCTTGGGCTTCTGGCATCCCCATACCATAAATATATGCATGCATATACACAGTACCCCAGAAATGGGGAAGACTTCCACTGGGCTAAGGTTAAATGTCGGGTGTCCAACAAACAGTGACAAAATATTTAAGTTTCTCCCGGGGGGCGTTTGTAAATATTTGAGCCACTTAATTGGAGGGGCGTGGGTGGGCTGGCACGGAATTGATTTATGCCAGCGAAGGGCAATCGATTTGAAAATGAACCCATTAAAATTAAACATATTTTTCAAGTGAATTATGGCGTGTTGGGGTGGAAACTGAAAAAAACATAGTTTCTGTGGTGTTCAATTGAAATCTAATATAATTAAAATTAAATTGAAGCGACAGTTAGGGAATAAAAAATTACTAGTAAAATGTTTTTTAGAAGAAACATTTAAATTTTTAAATATTCTTCAATATAATTATTTTAAATATATTATAATAGTTGCTGTAGTTTCAAACTTTTTAAATTAATGAAATCAAGTTGGTCCATGTTGTTTGTTTTATAATATTTTATCTCAGTTCCAATAATCAAATGTTGCCTGGTAGTTTTAAATACAAAATAAAAAGGATTTAATTCTGAAGCATGACTTTCAGAATATTGCGGCATTTGCAGACCGAGAATGAGTGGCCGGCCACGCGTTCGAGACAAGTTGCAAGTTGAACCGGCAATCAACAATCAACGCTGCCCCTGCCACGCCCCACTCATTAACCCAAACATGATCGGGCAAAATGTCTAACGGTAGGTGGACGGGCTGATGGGCGGAGGGGCGAAGGGGGCGGGGCACGTGCGCCCAAGTGCCGCGGCACGTGTGCCACAAAGTGCGAGTGCGAGTGCGAGTTTATGGACAACCGTGACACGGAGGTGCCACCAAATCCAAATCCCTTGTCACCTTGGCGCCACGGTGAAAATTTGTAGAAATTAACATTTTTTGTTTGCAGCCGCTTGTCATTAAATGAAATTGCATAAAAATCAATAGAGAAACTATTACAGCTGGGATTCAATAACTTGACTTAACTTTTATAAAAATCAAACAGTATAAAAGTTAGGTCTACTCAGAAAATTATTAATATAAGTATTTAATAATATAAGTATAAATAATAATAATTAAACCAATGGTACAAAAGCTTTAATATTAAAACTCTTTATAATTGAAATTATGAAAAATATAAGTCCTTACTACCATATGGAAAATGGTGTCAAGCTTTTAGAGTTTTCAGCCAGTGAAAGCCACATCTCAGAAAGTTTTCTACTAGAGAAGCTCGACTGTGAATAGAACTGACGATGAAAAAAAGGCGCTGACGTGGCTGATGATGTGCAGGTTAGGGTCAGGATCTAACTCTGAACTCCGTCCACTAATTTCAGCTGGCTGCCGGGTAATGACTTTATAAACACAACCTGTGACCGCGGGGTGAGGGTGAGGGTGAGTGTGAGGCCTACAAAACTGTCCAACTGTCCAACTGTCAGGCTGCTGCCGACGGACTAAGTAACATGCTAGACTGGACACACAACGAAATCAATTAGATGGATAGAAGCCGAGATGGGAAATCGGAGAACGAACGAAACTCATATATCATTAACAATTTCCATGTCATATGCCGTTTACCTGATATCTTCGAGGGAACCTTTGTCTATCAGCTTGTCACTCTGCCAACGAATCAAACTTGTCAAACTCATCAAATATTCAAATACATTTTACACATGCAACCGCATACGAGAAAAACAAAATTATTTCTTCATTTATTGTTTTTTTTGTGGTGGGGAGAGGTTAAATTGTTTGTAACGCCCCCACATAACTGTAATTACCGAGAAAAATTGATTTTTATATTAAAATGGTATATATGTGGGGCTAAGCAGGCTCAGTTCTCCTTCAAGGGTTAAGGATTTTGGTCAGCAAAAGGGACCCATTAAAATCCGTAAAAAGGAAAACCAAAACTTAATTTTGCCTGTCCCCTCAATGAGAACTTAATGCCGCTCGAAATGAACAAAATCCCCATTTGGGAATATATCGTATGTGTGTGTGTGTGTGCAGTCTGGGTCTTTTTGTATTTTTGGCAATTGATTAAAAGGCTTAACATTTCAGACAATTGGCCATTTCGGCCTGGCCTTTGTCTTGCGGTCAGTGTTTTGCTGCAGACTCGGGGAATTAGTTGCAAATTAGTGCGAAATGAGCAAATTCTGTTAAATCTTGTATGCTTAATGTGTGACTTTATGGTCAGATGGAAAAAGCCAACATATGTGTGGGGATATGGCACTTTGAGTCAGGAGAACTTTCATTTAAATTAAGCTAGGGATTCAATTTTGTTAAATACGCACTGAATAGAATTTTTTGTACTTTTAAACATTATTACATATAGTATTTACATTGAAAACCAACAGGATACATAAGATATATTTAATTGATTATGAAACAAAAGAAATGGGATATTAACTTTATAAGCAGACTGTCTATATTGTTCAATTTTAATCTTTTAATGATTGAAAAAAATTATACGGCTTAATAAAAATACCTCGAACAATATCACCCACATATAAAAAATCATTGAAAACCATATATATTACCCTTAAATAAATTCGCATTCATTTCAAATTCTTTTGTTTTAATATTCCATCTGCTTATAAAATACGACTGCCACAATAAATTGATAAACGTTTTTTGTTATTCCTTGCCTGTGCATTGGCAAGTTGAAATTTATTGATTTCTATGATATACGTTGACATTTTGATGAAACGTTGCCATTGAGTGCAGATAAGCATAAGATATGTGTTGTGTACGTTATGCGATACCTTCGGAGCGAAAAAAAAAATATCGAAACGAATTTGTAAAATCAGAAAACGTGTTCTGGCCATGTAGCATGCAAATGAAAACACAAAATACAAAAAAAATCAAATTAACTTCTGGTTGGATTGGGATTGTATCGCCAAACGCCCCTCGAAATGACATAAAACTAAGCGAACAGAAACTCACTTCATTAGCAGCTATGAAATGGTCGTGTTTTCAGGGGAAAGGTAGAAAATACAACCAAAATTCAAAAACATAAACAGAAATACTTAAATCCCCAACAAGGTAAGGAGAAGTTGTAAATAAAAATCTGCGGGCTCGACACGAATCTTTTTAATTGTTTGCTCTTTCTTTTTGATTAGTATAAATTATGCAAAAATCGTAAAAAATACAGTCAACGACTTTGATGATTTATGTGTATGCAAAAAAAAGAGGAGATTGTGTCCAAAGCAGTTTCATTAATATTTTTGCTAATAATGTCTTAATAAAAATATTTAAAAGCGAATGCAGAAGGGCAGGGCCCAGTTTAAAATGCAGTCTTGAACTTGCTCCTCTTCTCCACAACTTTGTCAGCTCTTTGTCTTTCTTTTTATACAAGGTTTCCAAAAGACTACGCCCCCAAAAATAACAAGTGCAAAATAAACAAAAATTGGCCAAACTTTTGAGCTGTTAAATAAACAAAGGAAATACACGAAAAATTGTGAAATTTACCAGTCACACAACCCTTGGAAAATTACCCACATAACATATAGATGTATCCGCATCGTTAAGCGAATTTTCTGTCATTTGCCAATTTGCAGGGGGAAAAATTCGTGTTCAACCACCAAACGACTGAAGGGAAGACAACTTTTGATGGG